AATCATAAATTTTCCCAGCAAGTGACTCATAGACAGAGAGTTTCCGAGGTTAGCAAAACCAGAAAACGCCAAGCAGAGGGCCCCAGGAAATCTGGGATGTGAAGGATTGTTAGCAGAAACAGCTAAGAGTCCTTCACAGGACATCACGGCCTGTTGGCACAGGGTGCCAAAGCACTGCAGGTGCAGGGTCATGAGCACAGGCACGGTGCCAGGGAGGCAGTGGCCAAGGTGATTCCTGCTGACCAAGCTGTAACAGGTCACACAGGGTGGCACCCTGCCCAGATAAACAACCCTGCCACCCCCTGGGCTCGGGAGCAGAGACAAAGCCCTGGTCCCACCTAAGAAAGCTGCGGGAGGATCTCTCACCTGACTCTCACCTGACATTCCGGGCCCTGTGTTTGCTGGTGCAGAGAGTGCTCCCAGCTGCATGCAGGAATGGGAACAGCAGCGGGCAGCAGGGCCTGAGATCACCATCTGCTCAGGGCCCGTCTTGGGCATAGAGAACCCAAAATGATAGTATTTGGGTTCTTGGAGGAGTAAGGAGGGGCCAACAGAACTGCCTCCCTGTGTGGCCAGAGGGCAGGCTGAGCTGTTGAGGAGCCTGGCTGACAGATTTCCTTGGGAGCCTTGAAGGGCACAGAATTCCTCCAGGGAACTACAGGCCTGTCAGTCTGACCTTGGTGTTGAGGAAGCTTAAGGACCAGATCACCTTGAGTACCATCACACAGCACGTACAAGACAAGCAAGGGATCAGGCCCAGTTTAGATTGGATATTAGGAAAAAAAATTTCTCCATGGAAAGGGCTGTCCAGCCCTGGCACAGGCTGCCCAGCAAAGATGAAATCACTGTTCTTGGAGGGATTTAAAAGCCATGTGGGTGTGGCACTTGGGGATATTGCTTAGTGGTGGCCTCTGCAATGGCTTGGAGGGATTTAAAAGCCACGTGGGTGTGGCACTTGGGGATATTGCTTAGTGGTGGCCTCTGCAATGCTGGGGGAATGGTTGGACTTAAAGGTCTTGGAGACTGGCACTTGGGGATATTGCGTAGTGGTGGCCTCTGCAGTGCTGGGGGAATGGTTGGACTTAAAGGTCTTGGAGACCTTTTCCAGCCTAAACAATTCCATGATTCTATGATGCTATGTAGTAAGTCATCCTTATTCAAAGGGCTCTGTTTGAAATCTGGCATCAGCAATACAGAACATGTTGCATCTTTGCTGGTACCTCTTCAATCTGGTTTGCAAGACATCCTGGAGGACGTGACCTTGGAGGCAGGCAGCATATCGAACCTGCATAATCTGAGCATCTCTGCATCAGTGGCAGCCTGTTGGGTAGCGGGCAGTTAATAAATAATGAGGATGTCAAAGATGACAGCAGGAAAGTGGGAGCAGGTAGCAGCTTTGCAGCCAGCTCTCTGACAGCTGCTTGGCAAGCTCCAGCTACGAGGCGAGCGCGGGCACTCGTCCCGGCGCGGTGTCCGGCACCGGGGAGCGGCGAGGGCCTGAGGGCAGGGGCTGCAGGCACCCCGGAGAGCAGGGCCCACGAGCAATCCTTGTTTGTGATTTAACGGCGGAGAGCAGGGCCCACGAGCAATCCTTGTTCATGCTTTAACGGCAGGGCAGATCCCAGCCCAGGCCGCGGCGGGAGGCGCAGAGCGGCACAGGGCTGGCCGGCCCGCGAGCGGGTGTGCCCAGGGGATAATCCTGCTGGGAGCAGGGATGGGGGCGTTGCAGGAGACAGCTGGCTCAGCTGGATGTCAGAGTCGCTGCCCCGGGGCTGGCGGGACAGCAGGACCCCGGCCCGGTGCTGCGCTGGGCACCGGGGCTGCCCGGGCAGCTCCTCAGGACATCAGCTCCTGCCCACAGGTGTTCCCTTCAAGGGCTGAACTGCATGACACCAACACTCGAAGATGAGGAACCTGAGGTGTAATTGATCTTCTGATGGCTTTTTAAATGTCTGGTGAGAGGGGGCTGCTTTCCAAACAGCAGAACCTACACCAAAATGATCTTGATTTGAATAAGTATTCCATCCTTGTTTGGTAAATATACCCAGTGTTAATGGTGCTTAATGGTGCCTGTAATTGGTGTCTAAAGTTATTTAAAAGTAAATTTACTAGAAAATAATTAGCAATTTTATAGTTCACTACTTCCTAATTTTGTCGATAAAAGTTTTTCTGTGGTTTTTATCAGATGACACAATAGGACCATGCTGTGAAATAACCTTTTTTCAAACAAGCAAGAAATTGTGCACACAAAATAAGATTAAAAAAATTTTCCTCCAAACTTCTTACCCTGGCAGCCAGCCCTCCCTCATCCCTCTCTTTTTATTAGCCACTGATTTATCCTTAATCAGCAGCAAGTGAAATCTCCCAGGTACTGCTCGGGGATTTGTTCTTCGTGGCCCTGGGAGGTGCACCCCAAACTGAGAGGTCATTGAGGAACGCTCTGCCGCACACCAGGACCTGCAGGCTGGCCCAGGTGGCTCTGGTGCTGGTCCCCACTCTGGTGCTGGCAGCAGCACGTGGCTGGCCCAGCCCTGCTGGCTGCAGGGCCACGGCCCGTGGGGCGAGTCGCAGCCGCCAGCAGCGCAGGGTCACGGCCAGCGCTGCCCTGTCCTGGCTCCTGCCCGTGGGGTGGTGCTGCTGCTGGGGGGGCCCACAGAAATGGAGCCGAGAAATGCAGCTGCTACAATGATTTATTGTTTAGTGCTGGGGGTTCCAGGGTTCAGTTCAGGACAGTCACATCGTTCAGGTACAGAGACACTGACGGACAGAGACGCACTGGGGAGGCAGTGACAGCACAGCAAGTAAGATTCAGAACAGACCCACTCTCCATTTCCAGTCTCTGAACCAGAAAGTACCAGCTTTTCCAGAACAATGAATCACTCAGTCTGTGTATAAAATTAAATATAATTTATGCTTTGCTAATTGAAACCAAATACAAAATTCAATTTCCTGTGTATTCTAATGCTGACATTTGAATATTTTTTTTTTAAAAAAGTGCTATTAACCTGACTCTCATTTGGCAGGCCTCTCTCTGGCCAGATAGAAAATAATCCCCCCATCCAGCCCTAGCTGCAGTGGGGCATAAATGGGGTGCATTTTCAAAGAGCAAAACAAAATAACAGCAGCCCCCACTGCAGTCCCCACGCCCCCAGCCCAGGGTGCCTGGCGAGCCCCTGCTCCCTCCCAGCACTGCACGCTGGCACAGGGACAGCTGCACCTGGGACAGGGCTGTGGGGCTGGAGGGTGCTGTCCCACCCCGCTCAGGGGCTGCTGTCCTGGAGCAGGCTCTCGGGCAGAGGAGCAGGGTCTCCTCTCCCAGTGGGCACCCATCAGCTCCTGCCGAGCTGGAGATGGCGTCTGGTATAAAAAATAAACCTCTGAATATATGGCAGAAATGAGGGAGTGAGTGTGGGGGGCAGGCGGAGGGGCACAGCAGGCACAGCGTGTCCCCAGCCCGCCCAGGAGCCCCCAGCCCCAGCTGAGCCCCTCTGCCAGGCAGCCAGAGCCCGGCCCAGCCCCACACCGTGCTGGGGGCAGCGCTCCGGAGACAGGCAGAGATTCCCAGACATCCCTCTGCTGAGGGGCCTGCAGCCCCTCGTCCTCCGTTCCGCATCTTGCACCAAATTATGCAACAGCAGGTTTCATGTAGGACCTGTTCTGATATTTTAATAACGTGTGAAACACCGTAAGATTATTCTTATTATATACTTCCAATTTTCCTGTAGTAATTTGGGAGTTTGTGGGTTTGTGAAAACTGTGCTATGTCAGGAGCTGTTTTTAAATCTGACCAGGCTGATGGGAACTGACGAGGTGTCAGCAGGGACCTCGCAGCGTCCCTCCAGCATGGGCCACGCAGTAAATGGTCCAAATGGCTTCAGCTCTTCTCATCCCATGCAAGGCACCGGCACCATTCACCACAGTGAGCCACTGGAACCCTGAGCAGGGTCAGCCTGTCACCCCATGGACACAACAGTGACTTCATCTGGTTAGCTGCAGCTGGAGGGAGTTCTTTCAGCTCAACCAGAACCGAGTCCTGGTCCTCCTGCAGCAACCCCTTCCTGCACCTCTTCTGGAGACCTGCCCAATGCGAGGGGGCTCTCATGTGGCTGCACCCCAAGCTGGAGGTAGCCTTAGCCCCCATCAGAGCAAAGAGAGCTGCCAGCAGTATCTGAGTGCCCTGAGAAATCACCATGGAGGGATCATTTCAGCAGCTCTGCATTTCACCCTTGCTCCCCCTCTGCCCGGTTTCCCGCAGCAGTGCAGGTGGAACTGTGCAGCTGTGTGAAAGCTCTGCTCTTGTCTGCTGGGCCCAGCAAACAGCTGATGACACTGGGGGATCGACTGGGGATATAGGTTTATTCTGTAATTTCTACCAGGATCTGCAAATGTGGGTGACTTGGTCATTTCCACTAGAAAGCACAGGTTTTGTGCGCTGAGCAGTGCTTGCCCTGGGAATTAATTGCTCTTTTGTAATTCTGGAGTAAGATGAAGGCTGCTTCCCTGTTCTGTGACCCCAGCTGTCCCCAGCCAGCAGCAGGGATTGCATTTTCAAGGTGCAAACGAATGGCAGTGCCAGGGGTCCTGACTGTCAGCTGGGGCTGTCCCAGGCCTCCACCCTGCAGCCACCCCTTGGTCCCCACTGGCAACACTGGCTCCAAACCATGGAGCAGGGCATGGCACAGCCTGGCCAGGAGGTGCTGCGTGGGCACGTGTGGCACCACCCTGTGCCTTGGCAGCCCGGCTGGGCAGTGGGAGCCTGGCTCACTCCTGGGCAGCCTGGAGTGTTCTTTCAGCCCCCAGGAGGGTGGAGACCTGAGGGGACCCCAGTTCTGATCTCACTGAGTATCTCAGCAAAGAAGGAACAACTCTCTTCCAACAGTGGAGGTGCACCCATCAGTCAGAGGAGAGTTGAGACCAGGTGTCTGTGGCACTTGGTAAATTCTAGTTTTAGTGCAAGAAGTAATTGAATTGTTTGGTGCAAATGAAGTTCCTGTACATAGTTCCTTTGCAGCGTAACTGGCTTTATTCCTTCCACACACAAAGACCAGTGTGCATGTGAGTGCACAAGGCCTGAATTTACCAGATCTGATGCTGCTGTTTGGGCAAAACTAAAGTGCAGGGCAGGAGAAATCAAATCTATGGGTTTGTCTCAGTGCTGGGTTTTGGGAGCCACCCTCTTGCCAGCTTGCCATGGCAGGAGGTCTGGACCTGCCTGCCTGGCTGCAAGGGGGACACCAGCAGCGAAACATCGACATGAAGTGCCCCATCACCCCGAGGAGCCGTGCTCCCCCTGCCTCCTCCTCCTCCCACCTGCCCCTGACCCCCAGCGCCGTGGTGGGGAGAGCCCAAGGTGACAGGCCACTACAGTTCCAGAACTGCACATGTGGGGTGACTGCTGCTGCAGCCCTGACAACACAAGAGCCTGTTACACGCAGGGCTGAGCCTCTGGCCCCAAGAGAGTTTTGGGTCTGAAATGATGATTCACATCCCAAAAACAAAAAAAAAAATTTTTTCCTGATTTTGTGGTTTTACTTATCACTTTCTTCCTGCTCCCACTGGAAATCTTGGCCTGTCATTTGGTAAAACATGACATTGAAGGGTTTGTAAAACTTCCGCAGTCTGTGGATGACGTCTGGGTCTATTTTGGGGTGAGTTCGACCCTTGGACTTGCCCAAACACCGGGGAGCACTGCTGTCCTCTGGCTTCTTCAGACAGGGAAACCCCTTCGTTTTATTAAAATAAAAATGCTTCTCTGTCACAATCCTCTTGAGGCCTAAGAAGTCCTGGACCTTGGCCATTTCCCCAGCGGGGTCAGTGATGAGCCTCTCACCGCTGACAAACAGGATCTGGGAGAGGGGGAAGTACTGGAGCCAGTTTTCCAAGTGCAGGGCATAAATCCCAATGCGGATAGCACTCCAGGAGGCATCGATCAGCCCCAGAGTCCGGTTCTTGAAGGCCAGCACCTCGAAGGTGGGGATCTCTGGCTTTTTGGAGAGGGTCTGCGTGTAGTCCGAGATGGCGCGGGTGACGGGGTTGCGCACCACCACGATCAGCTTGGTGTCCTTGGCCATGGAGTGGATGCGCCGCGGGGCCTCGTTGGTCACGAAGTAGCTGGGGGTCTTCTCCATGGTGATCTGGCCCTCCAGCGTCTTGGGCATCACGTTCCTGTGCAAAAGCAGAGGAGGTGGTTAGCGAGGGGCCCGGCAGGTGGTGGTGGGACATGCAGGAGGAGAGAGGCTGTCACTGCTGCGTGACCCCCAGACCCTGCTGGCTTTGCTTCTTCCCTGGCCACGGTGGGCACCCAGAATGTCGAGTCAGCCTTGGTGACACATTATGCAGACAATTTGCCATAGGCATGTGCAGACCAAAGCTAATTGACACTAAACCTGCACAATACCTGCCTGCTCAGAAGCCATCTGCTCCCATTTGCTCAATTAAGCCTATTCACTCCAGAGCCGTGTACGGAGCGGCGCAGTTCGGATTACACAGGACCTTTTTGTTATGATGACATGCTTTTAAACGTCTCAGCTAATAAAACTTAATACAGAATAAGATCCCTTGCTTCTAGTACAATAATTAAATTTATTTACTATCTTGTGTGTGAGAAAGAATGACTTTTCTTTTATCTCTAATTCACATGCTCTGTCAATAATTAATTGCTGCTGGGTTTTGAGCTTCCTGTGCAAGCACTTTTATTAGCCAAAAGGAATTTGCCTACTGGATAAATTAGCATGTAGCAAGATTTTCCTGGATAGCATATTACCATATTGTAAAATGAAACTGCAGTGAGATAGCAGTTATGTCTAAGAAAATGAAGAGGTAAATTCTTGTCCCAGTGCCACCAGTTAAGGATTATCATAGCCAGCCAGAGGGTTTTAAATGATCACAGAATCACAGAATAAGCTGAATTGGAAGGGACCCACAAGATGCCCCCTGCAGGAGTGTCACAGCCTCGTTCACACCTGTTGTGCTGCCAGATGGCACCGGGGCTGGAGCTGTGCCACAGCCAGGGACCTGCCTGCTGCCCACAGCCCCCAGCCCTGCCTCATGCCAGGGACAGGAGCGGGGTCGCTGCCCCGGGGAAGCACTCACAGCACTGGGCAGATCTCCGGTGTCAGAATGGAGGATGGCCATGCCCGTGGCCTTGCAGGATTATCCCTTTGTACTGCAACTATTTTTAGTAAAACATATGGTGAGGAAATAACATGAATAGGCTTGAAATGGCTCTGTGAGAGCACCTTGGGCAGCAACAGCCACAGTAATGCTGACGTCAAACTGCTGGGCCCCAGGAAGACCCATTTCAGGAATAACACAGCAGAAGCCTGGAGCAGAAGCAGATGATAGGCACAGCCTGCTAGATGTGCCTGTCAGTGTCACCTCGTATTTGACTGCTAAAGGCATCAACTGGCTTTAACGCCTCTGTAATTTGTGTATTCACTGCTGGTGCCATCCAGCCCACCAGGCTTGTTCTGCTGAGAGCAGGGATGATGAGGGGTCTCCTGCCAATGCAAGAGTGAGGGTGGGTTTGCTGCTGCCACAGGGCTGCCAGAGTCCTCAGCATTTTGGGTGAAGAGGCTGGCGTTCCTTGGCTGCCCCTGTCCTGTTGCAGAGCCTTTCCTGTTGAACAGTGTCTGTCTCAGTACCAGCAACGTGGCCTGCAGGGCTGCAGGACTCCCTGTCTCAGGACCAGGGTGCTGGTGGCCAGGCTCTATGGAAAAGCCCATTCCCATGGCATCAGGTCCCACTGGAGCTGCCTTCCCAACCTGCAAACCTGCCTTTGTCCAGAGCACTCTGGTGCTTCATGCATGCCTTGCATCAGCCACTTGGGCAGCAGAGACATGAAGGGAGCAAGGATTAGTCAGAATGATGTATCTTCAGGTATTTATTCCTTTAAGAAGAAAAAAATTAAGAAAAAAATTAAGAGGGATAGGAGCACTTGGGGACTGCAGATGCTGCAGAATTACAGGCCAGCTTCCCTGGGGAATCCAGTACCTGTACCTGAACAGCCCTGTGGGAAGGTAGCAGCTTTTATGGCTATGCACATCACAGCAAGACCCACAGTATGATCAGAGACGAGCCCTTGGGTGCCCACTGCTGTACCACGAGGGGTGGGGGAGTGGGAGGTGCTCCGTGCCCACTCCCACAGCCCATGGCTGTCACCTGCAGCAAGGTGTCCCACCACCAAGGTACACCCACCTGCAGCAAGGACAACAGCCACCATGGTGTCTGCTCCCCACAGCAGCAGCAGATGCCCCAGGGCATTTGCTTTGGTTTGTATAAAACAAACAGACTGGGGGTTTATAAAAGAAGCATGAACAAACATGTTAATTACAACTGCCCCTTCAGATGATGTTACCATAATAAACGGGAGCCAAGAAATTGCAGAGCTAATAATCTGGAAGTGTTGCCACATTTAAGGACTGTGTTTAACTCTGTGCACAATAAAGACAAATAGATGGATGGGCTGGCCCTGAGGAGAGAAAACAGGGAAGCAGTGATCAAGGAAAAGAGGAGGAGAAGCAGATTCAACACTTGCTGTACAGTTTTAAGCATAAAGCTGGAAGCCAGAGTTTTTCCTCAGGACACCCTGGCCCTGCAGAGCCCGGCGCGGCTGTGGCTCTGGGACATACATACAGAAAGGCTTTACCCCAAGCTCTGCTGTGTTTCAGAATCCCCCCCATGTGCTGCCCTACTGGCAGGAGCCAAGCTGCACCGTGCAGGTGAAGGAGGCCCGAGCCTGCAGCCCTGGGGCCGGGTGCGCTGAGCGCAGCCGGGGGCACGCGGTAACTGCTGCCAAGCAGAGAGCAGCACACTGCACGGCCAGCTCCCGCTGCTGGGAATAACAAGGGTGTTAAAGCTGCAGCAACCCAGCCTCTGGCACGGCAGGAATGCTCCTCAGAGCAGTTAACCTTCACAGAGCTGCTGCCATGTGCTCTGCCCTAATTGCGTGTGTGCCGACAGAATTCTAACCAGCTGTGTGTGCCGGCGGAGCAGCGCTCCTGCAGCGGCTGATGCAGAGCAGTTTGCAGCGTGGGGCTAGGGCTTTGCTCCCTCTGGAACACATTCTGGCTTTCCCTGCAGTGTTGGTGTCCCTTTCGAGGCCAGTCTGGTTGCTGAAGATGCAGGGCCAGGGAGCCACTGCACCTGGCAAGCCCCCACAGGGCTCTGCAGGAGGGGAAGCGCTGGAATGGGACACGTCTACTCATGGCTCTGCCACTGCTGTCCCCACCTGCACCTCTTCTCTCTTCATCGCTGCTCACCTGAAAAGGGGGGGCAGTGACAATAATGCACTGTCAGGGGCTCTGCTGACACAGCATGAGCAAACCCTCTGCTCCCTTACGGGACGGGCGTCATCCCCTTGTGCTTGTTGGTGCAGCATCACTGCACTGTGCAATGCCAAAACTAAATTGTCACGCTGGCCTTGGACCCAGGAATTACCTCGTCCTCCAAGGAGAAGATCCAATACGTATTATTGAGCACTTGCTTGGGCTTTGGGTATTTCTCTCCTTTCCTGTTCATTCCCTAGTGCTCCTCAGAGGCTGAGGAGGGGCAGGCTGCTCTGTGCACCCCTGAGCTGCACAGGGGCTGCTCTCACTCCTTCAGGCTCCCGCTCCGTGCCTCCGCTGTGGGCAGCAGGCAGGACAGCCGGCTCCCGCCCGCCCTGGCTCCGAGCACAGGTCCTCATTGGGAAAATGTGCTGCAGTAATTGCTCTTAACTGCTGGCTTCAAACAAGCTCTTTATTTTCAAAGGATACATTTTATAAATTTGCAAATTTGCATGTTGCCAAAATCCCCTTGTGGTTTATTTAAATCCAGATTATCTTGTTTATTCCTTCAGTCACAGCTGTCATTTATCTCTGTGTAGGCAGCTTGTTCACCATGCTGCAGGTTTCCTGCAATCCCACTCAAAAGGAGTCTTTGTTAACTGTATTTTCATGTTCTCAACAAGAGAAAAAACTTCATAACAACTCCCAGGGCTTGGGGAATCACAGAAGAGGACAAGGATTTGCACAGCTGCCACGGAAAGAGGAAATGGCCAGGTGCTGCCAGTGTCACCTGCCCACAGAGCTCTTCTCTGCTGCTCCTTGGGGTGGAGCAAACAGCTGCTTTTGTCTTCTGAAAAGACAAACATGAATCCTTTTTCTTTTTATTATTAACACATTCCAGTATAATTGCTTGAGCTGTCAGCTGTGACCTGCCAGTAATTCAGCAGGCGTGGGACTTTCAAGGGGAGAGCGGCATTGCAACTGAGCCCGCAGTACGCATTAAAAGCAGAACCCATTTGCTATAAGCCCCCGAGTCAAATCTCTTGTTGAATTTGTTCAAACATAAATTTACAGCTGAATTTACATAGGTTTAATGTTTTATAATCTTTTCAGTCTGTGAATCTATATTCAAGAGTGAGTGCATTAGCTCAGAAATATTGTGCTTAACGCTGAAAATAATTTTAATCTCTCCAAAGTCCAATCCTTTGCACATCACTAAACCTCAGAAGCCAATCCCTTCTAATAGGAGACACAAAACTTGCATCTGTCGCTGCCTAATAGATTCACATTGCTCTAACAGCTCACATATGTCTGTTAAAAAACACTAAACATAAATGATAAAGCCCTTTCAGAAAAGCGGGTGCCAGTTCAGACTGGGGGCCAAAGGAACACAAACTATCCCCAGGAGACTCACTGGAAGACTTTAATGGTTAGGAATCTGGTGGCTGGGAGAAGGGGGTGAGCCATCCCTCTCTGTGACTTGCATTCTGCTTTGCAGGGCTCGTAACCCCAAATTAGCGGCTGCCGGTACTGTTGCTTTCCCTCTTCCCAGAGTTTCCAAAGGCATTCACTGTCCATGCAGACCACTCTTGTGGGGGGCGGTCTGGGACTGCAAGGACACGTCCTTGCTGTGTGCCAGCCGTGTCCCTGCGGAGTTTCTCCCAGCGTCCCCAGGCCGGGCAGGATGCGGGAGCCCAGCCGGGGTGGGGGCAGCCCCGGCCCCCAGCGCAGCCAGGCAACGAGGCAGCTGGGGCTCGGGAGTGCCCCGCTGTCCCTCAGCAGGGCCAGCCCTTCTCCCAGCGCGTCCAGGGCTGCCTGGAGCCGTCCGTCCGTCCGTCCGTCCGCCCGCAACACGGCCGGATGGAGCGCGGTGCCGGGTTGCCATACCAACGCAGGTGC